AAGTAATTTTTTTTTTTGTTAATTTTTCTCCATGTTCTTTTACATAAATTTTGTCATAATATTGTCAACAAATTATAAAAAATTATGAATCTATTAGGGACGATAACCAGGCGTTTTGCGAAGAATAAAAAAAATGAAGCAAATCGGTGTTTTGAGAAAAACGCATTTAAAGTTTGAGGTGTACACTCCGAGCGCTCCGAACGGCAAGTGGTATTATTATTTTTGGGCCTTTTTCGAAACCTTCCAATAGTAAAGTGGGTTGCTACATTAATATTAAGAGTATTAGGACACAGAAAATGCAAAAAAAAATTGAAATTTTGAAAAAAAGGTTACAATACTGACTGCTTAACTCATCACCTGTATTCAAAGATTTTTTAGATTCCTTATAACAAGTGTCTTAAGCTTTTTTGCTACTATGATAATTATGATGATATTGTGTTTTTATCGTTTTGTCCCAAAAAGAAATTGTATGTGTTTTAGAAACAAAAATTCTAATATGATGATTTTTTTATATTTATTAACAGTAAMAAAACTTCGTAGTAGCAGATGTGGAAAAATGTTGAATCGTTTAGTCGGGTCTTTTATGCATTTTCAGAGAAAAATATTATAAGCATTAAATAAAAAAAAGTCAAGATTTCGACAAAAAAAAACGTACCGACTTTCTTAAAAAATTAGATATTTTAATGTGAGAATTGAGATTGAAAATTAGAATTTTTTCTTAATTAAATCAAAATAAGGTGGAAAATTAAATATTTTAAATAAAATATATATTTAGCATGCTTAACACATAAAAGGTTAGTTTGGCACAAATTTGTTGAAAAAATACAAAATTTATTGCTTATTTGCATATTTCACATAAATTTTGAGGTTTTGTGAGAAAAAAGTATATACAAAATTTTATAGATTTTTTCATTACCATAGAACGTTTTTTCATAATTTTGCCGGAGTTCGAGATAAATTGTTTTAAACCCATAAAAATACAGCCAGCTTTTCTTGACCAAAAATCGTTCGTAAATTACTTTACCTTTCATTTTTAATATTTTATCTTTTTTTTCGAATCGGTTTCATCTTACAAAATTGTTTTTGGTTTCTACAGTAATCTACGCC